TGAATTATCCAAAGTACCAAACACGCTGTTGGCTTCATAGTACCTACTCAAAATTATTTCTGAACAAATAAAATAATCTTTAATAAACAAATGAGTTTTCTAAGTGACTTCTCAGAGTTGATGGAGCAAGCAGACATGAAGTTAGGACTTGGCAGAAGCTGAACTATTTTCTCCCATTTCTTCCTCAGTTAGGCAGCTATTTGGTGCCCTCAGGTTGGCCAGAGCTTCCTAACTCAACAAGCATCTCCCTTCTCTTTTGTCAACATTGTCAACAGCTCAATGAAAAATGACCTTGGGTAGACCTTACAAAACAAGTCTGATTGTTCGCACGAAAATGCAGATCTAACAAGTAGTAAAAAAATCAGCCTCTGCCAGGCACAGGGGCTCACATCTCTACTCCTAGCATTTTAAGACGCTGAGATGGGAAGATCACTTGAAGTTAGGAGTTGGAGATCAGCCTGATCAAGAGTTAAGACCCCCTTCTCTACAAAAACTAGAAAAATTAGCCAGGTGTGGTGACTTGTGCCTGTAGTCCCAGTTAATTATGCGGCCAAAGAAGGAAGATTGCTCAAGCCCAGGAGTTTGAGGTTGCTGTGCGCTATGAAGATGCCACTGCACACTAGCCCAGGAGACAGAGCAAGACCTTGTCTGTTCAAAAAAAAAGGCCAGGCCCATGGCTCACGCCTGTAATCCTGTAACTCTGGGAGGCCAAGGTGAGTAGATTGCTTGAGACAAGTTTGAGACCAGTCTAAGCAAACCCAAGACCCCATCTCTACTAAAAATAGAAAAACTGAGGCAAGAAGATCGCTTGAGCCCAAGAGTTAGAGGTTGTTATGAGCTATGATGCCGCAGCACTCTACCCAGGGCAACAACTTGAGACTCTGGCTCAAAAAAACAAACAAACAAAAGACTTCTATCCCACCTCTTGTTTTCTTCTCCCCATAACTGCACCTCAGAAGTGCTTTCTTTATTCTAGCTTGTTCAGTTCCTTTTATTAAAACCCCAAACTATGCCTTTCTTAGGATTTGGGCAACAACTACTCAGGTGACCATAAGCATAGATTTCTATTTTCCAGGTTACTGACAAAGCCAGCACTCAGACCAGGAGAGGAGCCAGATATATGCCTTTTAAAATTCAGGATGGGCTGAAGGAATTGGGCTAGCAGACATCTAATACGTGGGGGTTTAAGTTTCACAGTTCTTTGGGCTTATGATGTGGCTCTCTCAGTACACAAGAAAATGAAGAAAATGATCAAAAGTGAGAAGGAACTTAAAGTTTCAAACAAAAATATACTCACTTTCACCAAAATCATCCTGATGGATTTGTTGCTCCATGATTGGCTCAAAGTCTTTTGTCATCATAATCAGGGTCTGCTGACCTTACAGGGGCACAAAACAAGAATGGTTTTGCTTTCATGTAACAAATTTGCTATCGTGTAAGTATGTGTGGCACTGTAAGCTACAGAATTGGAAGAATCAGATAGGACAAACAGATTTCATTCAAAATTCTTTTTTGAATGAAATATAGCTTTGCCTAAACAAGTTGCCTAGTGCTTATTTTCAGGTATTTAAGTGCATAAAGCTGAACACAGTCCACACAGCCCTCCTCCTTCAACTGTCAACACTCTTAGTTTCCAAGACATCTCTGCAAATACACACCTTAGCATGGTGCTTGTTTACTAAGCTCAGTTGGATCGAAGAGACTTAAAGGAAAAAACAAGGAATGCAAGAGGAGTTTTTAGAATCTGTCCCTATAACAATTCATAGAGTAGGTTAAAATAAAAGATTGCTGACATCTTTATCTGTGACTGTGGATTTACAGCCTCTCTGCATTTTATGACTTTGTTTCCCACTCTTAAGGAATAAAAAAGTTACATGAAACAACTTTTTATAAAATATTCTAACAGGTAAAACTTAAGTCAGAAAAAAACACATTCACTTTTTTTAAAACTTAAGTACTCCAAAACTGAAGCCAATAAGATATTCGGAATATCTGTAGTAACATTTAGAGTAATAAGTCAATTAAGCACCAGTGACAAGCTCACCTGTGGCAAGGAGCACCAGCTCTTGGTCAGGACTCCAACTCATGACAGAGATACCACTGGCCACACTCCCAACACATTCCAGCTGAGACAGAGAAAATTAAAAAGAGAGACTCAAAATATCAGTATCTCAGTAAAAAATTACCACAATCTCAATCAAAACAATTAAAAACAAACACATAAATGTGACTTAATCCAACAAACATAACTTTAGTAACAGGTTATCAAGAGACTAGACCTGTTATTAGGCAAAGGAATTAGAAACAGACACCCCACTCTTCCCAGAGCTGACACATGAAGGAGGTAAAAAGATGACACTACAGAGTGATCAGGGCTTAACCAAATCTCTGGGAAGCAAAGCAGGTCTCAGTACAGAGAATAACAAGTGGTTCGGAAAGTTTTTCTGAGAAAGTGTCTCAAAGAATGATAATAGGGGCAGGTGAGAGAGATTAAGAGGAAAACAGTATTGAGGCACAAAGCCATAAAAAGAGTAGTTGAAAATCAGCTTTAGCAGGTGTGTTGGTGTGTGCCAATACTCTCAGCAACTGAGGAGGCTGACACAGGAGAATCATTTCCGCTCAGGAGTTCTGGGTTACAGCATGGTACAGTTGTACCACTGCACTCTAGCCTGAGCAATGGAGGGAGATTCCAACTCAAAAGAAAGTCAGCAGCAACTACAGCATAATATAAACACACACAAAGCAATAATGGGGAGAGGAGTAAAGGTAAAAAGAAATTAGGGGAACAGACAGCAAAAGGTCCCAAAAAGCATAATAAGGACCATGGACTCTATCTCTCAGACAATGGAGAAGCCACCAAGGAGCAAGATGAGCATCATTAAATGAAGATAAGTCAACTGGAGGAGCTCAGTCATCAGGAAAAATTTCTACAAAATATTTTAGAAATTAAAGTTTATCTTTTAAATACAAGAAATACTAATTCTAATTGAGTTGTACATAAAGACTTTTTTCTCACCATGAACTGAAAGTAAAGTTTATTACTGTATTAAATGGAATAGTTAAGAGCAAAAGGACCAGATTTAGACTAGTTAGGGTTCAAATACCATCTGATAACTGTGTGACTATGGCCTAGTTACTTAAGCACTCTGGGCCTCAATTTCCTCTTCTGAGGAATGGGAAGCAACATTCTACTTCCTAAGGTCATAGTGAAGATTAAATAAACTTGCATAAAAAGCACTTGAAAAAGTGCCTGTATCCTGCAAATATTTAATAAATATAAGCTACTATTAATACTTACTATAAATAATACTATAACTCCTGTTATAAAATCAATGTTAAAGAGATCACAACTAATGGAGTAATCAAAGAAGATTAAAAAAGAATCAAGCAATTGTAATTTGAAACTCTTGCTGCTAAGGTGAAAATGGAAATCCAGAAGTCAAGCTAAGCTAGAGTAAAGAAAGAAGCAATTGGTCAAAATCTATCTCTCTTGGCAATGTAAAAATATGCATGCAATGATAATGTATTACTTTAGTGCCTATAATTAAGGGACCAGGGAGTTAGCCAATTAACATTCGTAACTGAAAAAATAAGCCATAAAAATATATCAAAAATTTTCTAAAATAAAAAAATAAAGATTACAATTTAGGTAGAAATTCTGATAAGAGGTAACTCATAAGTACAGCCAGGTTTTATCCTTTTATTTCTATTTTTACTGTTTTTGAGACAGAGTCTGACTCTGTTGCCCTGGGATTGAGTGCCATGGTGTCATCATAGCTCAGAGCAACCTCAAACTCCTGGTTTCAAGCAATTCTCATACCTCAGCTTCCTGAGTAGCTCGGACTACAGGCACTCATCAGCACACTTAGTTTTTCTATTTTTAGTAGAGACTGTGCCCAGCCTGTGTTTATTTTTTTTAAATAGTCCTCTTTTGGAATGAGGACTATTTCTAATTCTTCTAATTAATATAAGCAGTAGGCCAGGCAAGGTGGCTCACACCTGTAATCCCAGCACTCTGGGAGGCCAAGACAAAAGTATGTGAGCTTGCATTCAGGAGCTCAAAATCAGCCTAAGCAAGAGTGAGACCCTGTCTCTCCTAAAAATAAAAAAATTAGTCAGGCATTGTGCTGGTGCCTGTAGCCCCAGCTACTCCAGAGGCTGAGGCATGAGAATCACTTGAGCCCAGGAGATT